CTGATACATGCCCCACCTTTTTAATTTCTAGGTGATAAACGAACCAAGGGACAATTATTTTAATAGACACCATTATATTGGCAATAATATCTAGTTAATTATTTAATCAAGGATATTTCAAAGGATTTCTGTAGATACAGGATAATTACTGCATTCATCAAAAAGCGTTTACTACTGAAATTTAAAAAACTGGGATTTGTTTCTGCATCTTCGACAACTTAAAAATTTGTTTTATAGGCAAAGAAAAATTAAGTGAAAGTGTTTAGAGTTAAAGTTTAGAATCACATACGAAAGTTCAAGTCAAAAATTTAAAAATTGGAAATTATTCTCATTTTTAAGAATCCTTTCTACAAAAATGGCTTTGCTAATTTTACCTTTTAAAACAGTTTAATATGAATAAAAAACCATGATCGAATATCACAAACTTATTTAATTCTGGCCAAAATGAGAATAGAGAAATCATTTGAATAATAGGTACATCAAAAAATTATTAGCGACCCAGGTAGCTGGCTATATTTATTGTCTTATTTCTGTCGAATTGAATAGTCACTTCACTCGGATTTTCTCTTTGTTTAAATACACACATAGTACCTACATTGTGACGTCAATCGAAATCCAGCAGTCTATAAATGCTGGTTTCGTGCTGTGAACTGGAAAAGTGTTGTGGAAGAAATATAATATATTAGTTGACATTTATAAATGCTTTATATATTTACCGTGATACCGTATTAGACACCAATAAAGGTTTCGTTGCTTACAGATTGTATTAGAATTCTATTTATATAAATTATTGTATCGGAAATAGAAAAAATATAAATTGTAATTTGTATAAAAATTAACATAAAAATGTAATCATAGCATCTAAAACATGTCGTCCAGAAATCGATCTAATTCTAATTTATTTATAAAATTAAAATAATATAAAAATTATCTCTGAATTGACATTGAAACATTCAGTTAATATTTTGATGTAAAATTAACAAGGATATGTTTGCCGAACTCGTATAACATAACAGTACCTTAAACAAATTAATAATCATTATTACCGTGTGGATATGATTATATACATATAATTATTATTATTATGATTATATTATAAATACAATAAATATTTATTAATTACTTCACGGAAAAATAACTGATGTCAGTAAGAAAATGCAGATTGGCTTTGTATTATCAAAAAAGTACTAAAACAAATCAAACTTTTCAAACGATTTTATATTACGATATAAAATTTCCAGTGGACAGTTCAGTATAACTTAAGAAATTATAAATTCTGTCCTGTTAATTTTGTGAAGCTATTAGGAGTTAAATGAAATGTGAAAGTTTGAAATCTGTTATCTTTGTTTTACCTATTAAAATAAATAGTATGTTGCATCTTACAAATCTGTAACTTTTGGACTAATCCTTGTGATTATAATAGAAGCAGAGGTAATATATTTTCTTTGTTTCAAAAACAAGCCTACTGGAGTTATTTAACATTGTTAGACAAAGTTCCGGAGATGGTTGAACATGGATCGATTTCAAAGAATCTACGTAGAGGCTGAACAAGTTTTACCCGATCTTACGGTGATACCGCCATCTGGACGATGTTTCCTGCAGTCTTAGAAGTGTATTTCTATCAAATACAAGCATATTGAAATCATTTAAGATAGCCACAGAAACTTCCAGAGTGGGACATAAATTGACCGATTTTTAACATTGTCCTTTGGCAATAGTAACTGGCCTGCAAATAGCCACAATTTATCTCCTCTGGATACTTTATTGTGTTTTTTTTTTAAACAAACTTTGAAAAGTGGAATAATAAGATATTCATAATAAAATATCTCAAGGATCCCAATGAGAATGACGAAATAATAGCAAATGAGTTTTCTAAGATTTATGAAGGTGCCGAATAAGCGTTAACCTAAAGGATGAGATAAATCTTCAGGACAATCAGCCAACTTAGAAGTTGCCGTTTTTAGCCAAATTTTCATTCGCTAATGATGCTTTTAGAGATTATGTCGAAATAGATTCGAATTACTCCAACAAGCATCTGAATCTGAATCTGAAGAAAAAAATTAGACTACCAAGAATATCACCACAAAATATTAACATAAATTTCAAGTTCACGGAGCACTTTGTATCTAGAAAAATAAACTAACGTCATTTCTCACTCATTACCTCGTGCCTTTACTTGAAAAGTGTCAGCAATTCGGTCAGTTAGAACACACTAGCGCTGACCTCGCGACCTCTTGTTCAGCGTTTCCAAGGTTGAATGCACGAATTGACATCATTTAATTTGTTCTTTTGGACATATTTTTTAGTTCGGGATTTTCGATATCGGTATTTTTGATACAATACTATTAACTGTATTGAAAAGAGAGATTTTAAAAAGATAGAAAGAGCTTGATGTTATATTTATTTATTTACTTTTTTGTCAGTATTTAAATTTATTAAAACCAGCTCATGATTTATTTTTCTGGTAAATAAATGACAATAGTTGTTTTAAATAACACGATAATTATAATTTGAATTAATAATACCTTTAATACATGCGATATAAATGATTGTAAGAGATAATATAATCAGACCCTGACATGAAAGAGTAAATAAATAGAAAACGACATTTTCTTCGTGTTTATCTATAGGAAGCAGGAAGTGTTTTTCTTTACTTTTCATCACAACATGCACGAAGGCAATTCGAATAGGATCATAAAATAGCTTATTACGGTTTCATGACACTGGACATTTGACTTCAACAGTATTCAAGACGACGAACCCCTTGTTGAGTGACAAAAGTTAATATTCATTCTGTTGTAATTATATTATCCTTATTAATTATCTTCTGTCAGGTACATCCTACATAGACCAGGAAAACTAGAGGTATGTGGGTATAATGCTCATAAGTGCCTGATTTTTTTTGAGAAGGTAGAAAAAGTGATATATAACAACATATTAAAACTTGATATTTTATTGAAAGACAGTGCTGCGTCTTCCGCTCACGGCCATATATTTTTTTTTTCGATACTCATCTAAATGTTTAAACAATAGACCGTCAACTTTGACTGCCCGTAGCTCCTTTGTTTATTAACGAATCTTGACCATTTTTTTTTAATAAAGGTCTTTGAAAGCTCTATTGATGTATGTAATCAAATCGCGCATAAGTATTAAAATATAGTAAATATTTCATTTTGCAACTAAGCAAATTTACAAAATAAATTCCCTAGGTCGCAAAAATGATTTTTTTTTTTTGAAAAAAACAATGGGATCCGATAGCTTATAGTGAAATATACCAATAAAAAATTTAGCGCGAATGCGGGTGACCCGCAAACATGTGGGGATTGATTATTAGTTAATTTGTTTATTAGGCCATAACTCGCAAAATATTCAACTTACGGTTTCCAACTTTCGCACAAATTATTCGTCAGTAAAAATGAATAGTTGGAGATATAAGCAATACACATCATTGTTATTAAGCTTTTTATTAATGTTTATTTAAATTGCAAAATATTAATGTTTTTTATTAATAATTTTTGACTGGATCAATATTTTTTTTCGTACGTGGGTTCGTTTTGTTCGTCTTGAAAAGACAAACAAAAAAGAATTTTACTTTTTTGCAGTAAAATCATCCGGACAAAAGTTATAAGCTAAAAACGTGAAATTTCACTAAAATCATAGTTTCTATGGCTTATAAACAAAAATGGTATTTTTTTATTTTTTACGGGTAAAGATATGTTGTTATATACCACTTTTTCTACCTTCTCACAAAAAATCAGGCACTTATGAGCATTATGCCCGAAATTGTCATTTTCAGGCTAAATTTCCTGGTCTATACATATTTATGTAGGCTATCGATTTAACCTCGCGTTGTAATTAACATATGACCCAAATGTTTCAGCAGATACAAATAGACAGTATTGTTGTAGGATTTCCTAACTGCAAGCAGAAATGTAAACAAAACGTGGCAAGAAGCTAATCTAGTTATGCACTTGAGACTGTAATTTATGAACTAGGTATTACTTTCGATTTTGTCAGACATGTCTTCGTTTTAAAAACAGAACTATGTTATTCTTGTGAACCTTTGTTAACTTCTGTTTTTAAATTACCTATACAATAACTCCAAATTTGAAATTGTATTTAGGTCATTGGAATAAAAAAGCATGTTATGAAAACTGAGAATTTAAAATTTATTTTATATCTCATATAGGCTTCGAAATATTTGACAAAAAATAATTTGTTTTAGATAGATTTTTTACAAGTTTAAATCAGGTTGTTATGCGATTAAATACAAACAGTAATTGTTATTCAGAATTGAATTTGTAAACAGAAACTAAAACGATAATTTGTCTTGTTCATGTATGAATTAACCATATTCCCAAAATGTTAACGCAGTCAGAATGTCTTAGCAAATGTTCTGTATTTTTTCTTAATTTTTTTGTTTTGCCGCCTGTGAAAAAATTTTCGAATGGATCAGTCAATTGTTTTTTTTTTATGAAAATAGTTTTGCCTATCCAAAAAATCTTACACTGAAAAAAGCAGAGAATTAGAAAATACAAAAACACATCACTTAATATCGCGCACTTTAAAATAAAGGTATTGACACGAAATACTGTGTGCACAATACCCAAATAAGGTGAAAAATTAAGTCCCAACTCAAAACAGTGGTAGATATGAAGTAAACTGGTTACATTTTTAATAGAACTTATGGCGTATCACTGAAAAAAAAAAACATGTTTTATCATTTTTGAAACAAAAATTTTATTTTGAACGAAAATGATTTCTTGACATTTTTCACCTTATTTATTAAGAATTTGTAATACTTAATACTTTTAAATTTTATATTTTCCTACATATCCTCGTTTTTAGACTCAGAGAATTGTAATTTTAAGGAACAGAAGTATTAGCATATTTGTCAGAATATAATGTATACGCTTATAAGAGTTTGAATACATAGGGACTGAAAAATACTTGACCTACGCTAAAAGAGTTATCTCTAAATTACAATTATACTGTTTTAGAACGAGAACTCCTTCAAGGACAATGGAACGGTACGAGAAAATAAGTAAATTAGGAGAAGGCAGCTACGGCATCGTTTATAAATGTAGAAATAGGGATACTGGAGAGATTGTAGCAATTAAAAAATTTGCTGAGAGCGAAGATGATCCACTGATTAGGAAAATTGCACTGAGAGAGATAAGACTTCTTAAGGTACGTGGTTGCTGCAGGTATTATTAGTCCTTTTCTTTTATTCATGATTTCGGAATCATAACGCGTTACGATCAGATACAAACCAATCAGGTTGCTAGATTTCGGATCGTAACGCGTTATGATTCTGAAATCATGAATAAAAGAAAAGAGCTATTGTAAACAGTAAATTTTAACTGAATTTTTTAATCTGGTTGTAGTACGAAGTGTTTTTGGATATTTATATTTTCTTTTACAGAATCTAAAGCATCCAAATCTAGTCAACCTCATAGAAGTGTTCCGCCGAAAAAGGCGCTTGCATCTGGTGTTTGAGTTTTGCGAGAGGACAGTATTAAACGAGTTAGAAAGGTATCCAAGAGGGTGCCCGGAACTCCTTTGCCAACAAATCATATGGCAGACTCTACAGGCGGTTGAATACTGCCATCAGCATGGTTGCATACATCGCGACATCAAGCCAGAAAATATACTCCTTACGGCCATGGGTGTGGTCAAACTGTGCGACTTCGGATTTGCCAGAATGTTGAGTAAGTCGAAATTGCAGAAGTCTTTTTTTTTAGGGGGACACATCCTGTCACTTACATTACTTGATCTAGACTTATCTGACGTATAGAAAATTATTTGTACGGATATTTGTACATGTATAATGTATATACCTACCACAGATCTGAAATAAACTCAGACTTCTCAAAATGATAAGTTTATAATTTTAGTAAGAAATGGTAGCAATAATAGCCGATATTCAGCTGGTTTTGTAACAGCTATATTAAAAAAGTTAAAACATTTTCTGACAAAGTCGATATCGCACGAACCTTTGGTACTTAAATCTACTATAATTACTTTATAAGAGTTAATTCTTGAAGTACCTAAGCTATTTAGAAATATTTTAGACCTAGAAAAGGGTTCATTAAATATTTTGGAACTGACAGATAAAAATAAATATTTTCTCACAAAATTTTCATTTTGCTTAAAGATAAGGATTATGAAATTTGAAAACCGAACGTTAATATAAAATTCAAATTTAAATTTATATCACTATGAAGAAAAAGGTTCTTAGCCCGGTCAAAATAGACATTTCAAATAGCGAAAATTCCGACAGAGCTAAATTTTGGGGTACACCATTAGAAATAAAGTGTCAAAAGTCCCCATCGATCCCATGTGTGCTAAAAAAGTTATTCGGGGTCAAAGGTCAAAATTTGAAGTTTTTTGGATTTTAAGTTTTATCAAAAAAGTAGCCCACACAAAAATTATAGATCTTAAAATTATCTACAAAAATGGTCCTTATACTTTTTTTTTAAGAATCACCATTCCTGAGATATCGCGATTCTAATAGTTAAGAATCACGTTCTACATGATATGCACACATCAAGGTACACCACCTGTGAGGTAGTGTACTTTGACGCGTTTTTTTTAACGTTTTCTCCCCGGTAGGCCTACTCTACGAACTGTTATGATTTTCAGTGACAATACTCTTTTAACTGTATGATGATTATTGATATTGATATTGGTTATTGGCTTTAACTGTAGTTCTGATTTGTTTTGATATTTTAATCTGATTCATACTCTTCAAAGTCGACTTCAACAGTCATGTCTTCTTCGATTTCTTCTTCATCTTCTTCTTGCTGGATGTTCATAAATTGTTCAAATGAAGATAAATCAGCTGTCTCCTCGTCGAAATCACATGAATCTTCGTCTGTTGTATTCAATTGGACATTTGAGCAAGACTGGCTTTAGCAATTAGTACACACTGGAGAACACAGTACTCTTCCACAGCCACATTTAGCACTACAACCTTTTTGAAGAATATCTTTCTGTCGCTGTTGAGCCTTTCCAGGATTTAAAAAGTATATAATTTTATCAATTGGAGTCGTTGCAGAGAGTAGTATTAATAAGTCAACATCTTCACCAACTACAATAGTTGTATTTGTTGCATTAAATTGTTCTATTGCTGTTTCAATTATAAGGACATCTGCGTCATTTTGACTAAGGGACTGAGTTTCTTTTGAGTGTATATTCTCAGAATAGTATAGTTTATACATATAAGAGACACAAATAGGTATTTTTACTTGCATTAAGTGCCTGACTATGTATATGTATACGTGGCATATATATGCATATCATGTAGAACGTGATTCCTTCAACTTTTAGAATCGCGATATCTCAGGAATGGTGGTTCTTAGAAAAAAAGTATAAGAACCATTTTTGTAGATAATTTTCAGATATATAATTTTTGTCGGAGCTACTTTTTTGATAAAACTTACTGTTTTCGAAAAAAAAATCCAAAAAACCTCAAATTTTGACATTTGACCCCGAATAACTTTTTTAGCACACATGGGATCGGTGGGGACTTTGACACTTTAGTTCTAATGGTGTACCCAAGGTCTGCACCAAAATTTAGCTCTGTCGGAATTTTCGTTATTTGACAAATATTTTTATGACTATTTTGATCGGACTATTCTAAACATTAAACAGCTTTAAATATTTTTGTGTACTCGTATGATATTAACTAGACATTTTCGCAGATTTAATTAGTAAAAATTCCGAAAAACTTGTAAAAGTTAATAATAGTGACGTATGTAGAGATATACATGTACATCTCATTTTTATGTTATAGATCCTGGCGAAAATTACACTGACTATGTAGCTACCCGTTGGTACAGAGCACCAGAACTTCTAGTTGGAGATACACAATATGGTACACCTGTTGACGTATGGGCTATTGGTATGTTACATTAAAATATTACACATACTTACTCCATTTCTTAAAAACCCTTCAAACGCTTTCAAAAATGCTAAAAATAATTAGTAAGAATAAGAAAATAATAACAATATTTAAGAGAACATAGAATATACCAGGGGTCGGCAAGTAATTTTAGGTGGGGTCCGGATACTTTTAAAAATTTTTAACGAGGTCCAGAAAAAAATTCATATTTCTTACAAATTTTCATTTGAACTCAAATTTAATCTGCTTACTAACCATTAAGAACTCAAAACACTCACATAATTGTAAAATACTAGAAAAAATGATAAGGTTGGCACTTAAATGTAAAAAAACATTTTTTAAATAACTTATTTGAGTAATTTATACTTTCAAAAAATTTTTGGCGGTCCAGTTTTTTACCTTCCGCGGTCCGCACCTGGACCGCGGTCCGCCAGTTGCCGACCCTTGGAATATACAAACTAAATTTACTTTTTACGTACAGATACGATAATTTTAAAAAAGAATTTTAATAGTATCTTCCACTTTTATATATTTACTTGTAGATTTGTTCTTGTATAAATGTTATGGACCAAGTGATGAATCGGGCATTATACATAATGCCCGGTCATTATGTAAAATGCCCAATATGAGTGTGCAATTTGATAATAATTATTCAAATAATCAAATTGACCGGGCATTATACATATTGTCCATCACCTTTTGGGCAGAGTAATACAAACATATTTAATTACTATTTTTTTATTATTATTGTCATTTAACTTAAAATAAACTAAATGTTAAACAATTTAAATAATCAGACTCATTATTTGGATTAATTAGCAAGGACTTCTACATTAAGAATCCACTAGTTTCTGCATTTAAAACTTAAGGAAAGTCATATTAAAAATATAGGTAACACAAAACATATAAAATTTAAAACAAACATTTCACAACATATCTTTATTTTATAGAAGTTTTGACATATTATTATAAAACATAAAATAAACTAAAGTTTAAGCAATCAGACTCATTATTTGGCATAATTAGCATCTAATAGTTTTCAGCACTTTAAACTTAATAAAAGTCAAATGAAAATATAAGTAAAATAGAACATAAAATTGAAAATAATAATTATACAATATGTAGTAAGTAACAGAGTTATTTAAACTAAACAAAAACAATAGCGTTTGAAGTCCGCCGCACGCTGATTGGTCAAAGCGTGTCACGCGTGCTTCCCTCCCCGCACCGTGTCAAATTTAGCATTATTATCAAACTGCCCAATTGTCACGTAGCAATATAATAATGACCGTGCAATGTGATAAATAATGAAGTTTAGATAGTAATTAATCACTTAGCCCGATAGACCTAGACATTATTCATAATGCTCGCACATTTTTAATAATGCCCGCATTAATCACCTGGTCCATAACATAAATATTTAACATATTTTGTCGTTTGCTGTAAAGAAGTATAAAATATTTAGTTTCGAATTATCTACTCGGATGTCGTAATTTATTGAAGAATCATTATAACCATTTTTCCATAATAATACATAATCGACTGTATCATATGTCAGCATAATATCATCTTAACACTCACCAACAAAGTAAAATATTTGCTTTGGCGTTTTATTACGATTAAATTCAGACTATTTTAGATTTGTACTTAGAGTAACCATCTCTATTGATCGTTACTGGCACTGCCCTTTAATAACATACTAAGACACGACACAATAATAGCCAACGTAAATGTAATAAATGTTCCTAATGCTGAAGCTTCTAGTAATGACGTCATCATTTCTCCAGTGCAATATTAGTTTCAAAAATTTTCCAGTAATAAACAAATAAAATAATTATGCTATCCGTTGATTTTATTTTGTAAATATTTTATAATTATACAGGTTATTTACAAATTTACTTACAGAAGTAACCACATCAGTTCAAAAACTTTGACATCTAGTTTTAAAAAACAGATATTTATTTATTTATTTACTTCGAATAAGAAACAAACAGATTATAAACAACCTAATTACATGTTTCTAGAAAAAAAAAGAAATGTATATACATGCACATATCTAACTTACCTAATACAAAATAAAATACAAGATAAAATTCAAAATAAACTGCAGCAAGGGAGCAGCCGGGCAAATAGAACCAGGACAATCAATTTCAAGTAAAATCTATATTAATATCTCGCTTAATTGTAATTATCTATTACATTTATATTTAAATAAATAATGTATAATTTTATAGGATGCGTTTTAGCAGAACTAATCAAAGGGGAAGCTCTGTGGCCTGGAAAATCAGATGTAGATCAACTTTATTTAATTAGATGTACAGTTGGTGATTTTTTACCTCGTCACATGCAAGCTTTCAAAAATAACGATTTCTTTCAAGGAGTAATTTTACCAGTTCCCTCACAGCTAACTCCGCTTGAAGTTAAATTGCCGCTCTGCAGCACTGTTATTTTGGATTTCTTGAAGGTAACAATTTGGATTCTGGTCAAAAGTGTGAAATACAGGATGCAATGGCACGTAGCGACAAAATTTCAGAATCTATAACATTAAAAATAAATAATGAAATACAACAAAAGCAGGGGTTTAATATTTAAAAAAAAATACATAATTGAAATAACCAGTGTTCATTTGCTCCAATATTACTGGTCTAATACAAAGCAAAACGTTTTTCTAACGGCTCTATGATTTTTCAAAGATTTGAGGCGAGACAGTTTCTGATAAACTGAAAACAGAAGAGACTTAGAACTTCGTACAGTAGTAGTAGTCGTTTCCTCGTGGTAACTATCTACAAGTAAATTTGAATAAACTAGTAGCGTCAGAATACGAGGAGTTATCAAAAGAGAGTAAGGTAGAACCTCGTTTTTCGATAGATCATTTCCAAGCAAAACTTTTATGCCTCTGAAGTTTGTTTCGTAGATTGCATGTTAAAAGTATGTTAATAAAACATGACAATGATAAACAACTATTTAAATTTTTGCAAAAATTTGTACTGATAATTTTTAATAGTTTTTAAAAATATACATAAAAATCAATATATGCATATAACAAATTATAACTAAATTTGATAACAATATAATGCCATTTAAATGTGCCGCCATTTTAACAGTTTATTATAGGTGCCGTTATGAGGCCGCTATTAGTCTGTAAGTCAGTACCAGTTGCAGAGTGCTTTATTATAATAAAATATTAATAGTCCACAGTACAAGCCCCCTCTGGAAAGTTGATTACCACATACTTTATAACTCCTGAGGAGCTTCGTTTTGACGAGTCTACCACATTTTTCCTCTGCGACTTTTCTCGATTCCTCCGCTTTTCCACTCTCGGAAAAGTCCAAAAACATGGCAATTTCCCGGGGTCTTGAAAACTCAAGACCACATCTTTTATTTTTAGCTTAAGTAACTGGAAATTTTGTTGCAAATGCCGATTTAAATTTGTCCGACAGAAATTCCTCCGACATTGACGTGTCTACCGGTCGAAACATGCCAAAATAACAGGGTATTGAAAATCAATTACCACATAGGTAATTTTTAGTAAAATTAATTGTAAATAATTAATTCAGTCAAAAAGTATTGTTGTCCGACAAATTTCAAGCCGCGTTTTTTCAGTCCGACAGCTGGAAATCGGAATTTTCACGGGGTATGAAAAATCGATTACCACATGTCGGACAAAAATAACACACGATAGAAAAGTGTTTTTTATAAGCAAAAATTGTAATGTCCGACAAAAATATATCCGCAAATCGTCAGTCCGACAAAAAATGATGAAAAAAATTTCGTAAAAAATGTGCACATGTATTTATAATTTCTAATAAGGTATTTTCATGTATTAAGCAAAATTCCATATAAATATACAATACAGGGTGTTTCAGAAAGACCTCCCGTAAATACAGGGGGTGAGGACGACAAAAAATAAGAATTTTTTGTCATATGAACTATATGTCTATCTCCTCTTCTCAAAGCTCAAGCTTACTTTGAGAAAAGTCACTTATTTTATAGTGTAATATTGTAAGAGTTTAATTAAAAGCCTTTTTTCTCGAAAATCGTCCACATTAGGAAGTTCTAACAAGAGTACATTATTTTTAGAAAATAAAATTGTACAATAGAAATTAGAGCCCGACTGGTAAAAAACCTAACCTTAAAAAAAATATAACTTAAATTGTAATAAGAATGTAGCATAACTAGCGCTTTCTATGAAATATACAAAAAATAATTAGACTAGCGTATTTGGCACCCTTAAAAACCTCGGGCTACCAAATTTCATAAAAATATTTCGCACTATTTGGAAATTTTCATAAAAATGTTATTTAAAAAATTTTATTTTGTCTCTCTGTATCTCGAAAACAAGAGGAGATAGACATAGAGTTCATAAGACAAAAAATTCTCATTTTTTGTCATACTATCACCCCCTTTATTTACGGGAGGTCTTTCTGAAACACCCTGTATATATTTTTCGTTTTATTCTTGTAATTGTAAATCTCTATATGCTCAATTTAGCCAAATAAATATCGAGAAAAGAATTAAACGATTTCAAAAAAGTATGTATGGTGTAAAAAAATTATGCACAAAAGTTTTGGGATTTTCTTTTAGAAAAATAGGAAAATTTTTGTAAAGAAAAATAACAAACGCGAATGAAAACTTGAAAGAGAAAAAAGGATTTTTATATCAAGTATAATATTAATTTATTTAGAAATAATGCATTATGCACTAAGATCGTATTAATCGCCTCAAAAATAACTTCATTTGTTTATAACTTTTAAATTTTTAAGCATAAAATAAGCAATATTATAATTATTTATTTGAAACAAATAATAATTTACATAATAATAATTAATAACCATTTATAAATATGAAATTTTTGGAGTGAAAAAATTAAATTTCATCACGTTTATTGATTTATTGATTTTTTAATAATTTGCGGACATTAAATCGTCGGACACTTATATCACTATTTTGTACAGTAAATTTAAAAGTGGAAAAAATGAAAATTAGATATGTGGTAATCGATTTTTCATACCCCGTGAAAATTCCGATTTCCAGCTGTCGGACTGAAAAAACGCGGCTTGAAATTTGTCGGACAACAATACTTTTTGACTGAATTAATTATTTACAATTAATTTTACTAAAAATTACCTATGTGGTAATTGATTTTCAATACCCTGTTATTTTGGCATGTTTCGACCGGTAGACACGTCAATGTCGGAGGAATTTCTGTCGGACAAATTTAAATCCGCATTTGCAACAAAATTTCCAGTTACTTAAGCTAAAAATAAAAGATATTGTCTTGAGTTTTCAAGACCCCGGGAAATTGCCATGTTTTTGGACTTTTCCGAGTGGAAAAGCGGAGGAATCGAGAAATGTCGTAGAGGAAAAATGTGTAGACTCGTCAAAACGAAGCGCCTCAGGAGTTATAAAGTATGTAATCAACTTTCCAGGGGGGTCTGTACTGTGGACTATAACCACCGTACTGATAATAATTAGTTACTTACATCGCTGTTACGATACTTATTTCAGCAATTCTATAAAAAACACTGTCTTTTTGACATGTTACTTTGTATCTGGTCTCTGTAGTGTTTTTCGGTACTGCTGGTTTGTTTCAGAATTTATGTGTATGACAGTGTAGTGTGAGCTTTAGACCTAACTATAATCATGGCTCAAGCTTGGATTAGTTCTCTGCTTGGATCTTGGATGGAAACAGAGAATAATAATATTTATTTATTGTACTGAATAAATGAGATATTCTTTTTAATTCACGTTTCTCAAATTATATGAAAACATTCTACAAGTATCTACATTGAAATTATAACATTTCAGAAACATTGCTTACAAAATATTTTTAAAATAAAACAATTGTGTAAATACAACCTGAATATTACAGAAATATTTCTAAAAATAATATCTCAAATGTTAACAATTTAAAAAACGCCTAGCAATAAAATTTAATGAGTTTCATATGCCCTAAAACGTTTTCTGCTAAAGGTAAAAACTTATACTTAATAATTTGTAATGTGTAGAAAATTTCTATTATATGTTCATATTTTAATTATTTATATCCTCAAACCATTTTATTTTATTGATGGTAAATTTCGTTATGTTTCGTTTCAAAAGGTCTCCAAAATGCCATGATGTAATAATATTAGTAGTAAACAAAATATCCCTGTTAATTCTCCCTTTCGCAATTGTAATATAAATAGAAGGCGCCTATAATAAATTAAAATTACCTGAATCACACCAAATTCCACATTGCTGCACTACACTGCTAGACAATTTGTCAACCACATGTCAACAGCTCAGATTTATTACTCAGTTCGGCTGTGTCTATACGCCGTTTTGATTTTTCAATTGATTGTGAGATCGGAAAGACTATACATTAACTTGAAATCAACATAGGTAAACCTAATGTCTACCTTTCTTTTTTTTTGTTTTTTTCTAATTATTTTTAAGAAGACATGTCTATAATTTTTTACTAGGAACCTTGGTATAGGAATATGCGTGCATAATTATTTTTCTTAAAAGTTGCTATTCGGCATCCGTCGTTGTTTAATATTACCAAAAAACTCAAGAAATGCATAAGCTTTCATTGGAAATGGTCTACCCATATTTGCCAAAGAAAATTACGACGCCAAATAATTATTTTTGACTGTGGAAACTCCCTTCCTTCAAATTCTATCATTGGATGGGCTTGGTTCAAATTTTATATTATTTAACTAAAGCAACTACAGTTTGGCAGATTTAAAGTCTATAGCTTTAATGATTCTTGGGTAATGAACCGAAAACTGTTGAACGATCTTTGAACGAATCATTGGGTCCTGTTGAGTATATTTAGGTAAAATCCGGAAAATATTATTAACAGTTTAAAAAACAAAAATAGTTGAACTAATTTTAAATATACTCGTATACTTATGTATAAAGCGACCCTGTCTAAACGACATAATTTTTCAACAATGCTCCAATATTTTGGAGAATATAGTGAAATATATTTATTTATTGTTGTTTTGTAATTTTTTATACAGGGTGGCCAAATGAAAACGAAACAGAGCCATTTTCAAGAACTGCGTCAAGATTGTAGAAAAACGCTCTGACTCGTCGATTTTAGGTTAAAGGGGGACATTCTTTGCTGGTATTTTTTATTCCGCCACTTTCACCCCCAAGCAAGGGTAAGCATACCCCAAAATATTTAAATGACATTGGGGGTTGAGTAATATTTCTTTTGAAAGCTCTTACAATTCTCTTTACAACAGACTTTAAATTTTATAATTCCGCCCAATACTTTGAAAAAAAAAATACATTTTAAAATTTAAATTATGTTTAGTTGCTTACATACTACGTAGTTGATTAAATGTTCAAACTGATGACCGCCCGCTTCCATACAAGAATAAAGATTTTGTTCGAAACGTTCGCGCATATTCCGAAGCATTTCCGGAGTGATTCGACGGCATTCGTCGACGATTCTTTGACGCAAATCTTCCAACGACGCTGGCTGTGTTTTATAGATTTTACTTTTTAGGTATCCTCGCAAAAAAAAATCAAGGGGCGATAAATCCGGTGATCGTGGATGCCACTCAATTCTGCCTCTTCTCCCAATCCAAATACTGACGGACAATTAACGCATAATGCGTCCTGTTGAAAATCAAATGATCTTCATGATACTCTGGAACATTTTCAGTAATATCAGTCAAGGCAGGGTCAATAGCGTCTTCCAGTAATTGCAAATACATTTGGCCAGTCAAATTACCAGGTAGAAAAAGAGGACCCACCAGCCGGTCACCGAAAATTCCAGCCCATACATTTAATTTTTCCGGTTGCCGTGTATGCACCTCGTGAAAAACTCTTGGGTTTGAATCGGACCAATAGCGGCAATTGTGACGATTTACCGTCTCGTTCAAGAAAAAACTGCATTCATCAGAAAAACAGATTTTAAAAAGGAACTGTGGATCTTCCCCTGCTCGCTCACTCGTTATTTCACAAAATTGCAAACGGCGGTCATGATCATCTTCATGAAGTTCCTATAAACTAAATGTATTTTGTATGGATGGAATTTATTCTTCTTCAAAATGGTTTGTATACTAGTTCGATTGATCCCAGACACAGATGCCAGCTGCCTCGTACTTAATGTAGGATCAAGATGAACTTGTCCCAAAACTGCAACTTCACTAGCTTCATTACCTATAGGTTTTTCAATTTCTCGTTTTTTATGGGCTACGTTCCCTGTCTCTTGAAATTTTTTTGCTAACTTTAGAACAAATTTTCTCCTGACATGTCGATCTTGATGTTATTCATTAAATAGCTGAGCTGTTCTATTCGCACATTTATTGTTCATAAAGTAAAGCGAAATGATATCTACCCTTTCAGCAATGGAATAAACCATACTGTTTAATTTTCAAAAACACAATTAAATAAACTACCAACCTACGCTTCCAAATAATACTAGAAAATAATTTGGAATCCACTAATTTTACGTTCATTGTGTGTATAGCCATAGACAATATAGCGTATCGCTATAGCTATTTTGTCTGTGGTATAGCATTCATTTCTGTTTTTTACAATTGTGTTTTTTACGAAAGTGATAACAAATCGACAAAAGCCAATGTAACGCAAGAAATACTAAATTTATACCATTGGCGTACTTAACTCGAATGAATGACATTTTTACCGTTACTAATTGTTTGTAGGTACATAAGTTTCAACTTTTTAAAATCAAAATTCTTAATAAGTATTGGGCGGAATTAGAAAATTTAAAGTCTGTTGGACGGAGAATTGTAAGAGCTTTCAAAGGAAATATTACTCAACCCCAATGCCATTTAAATATTTTGGGGTGATGCTTACCCATGTTTAGGGGTGAAAGTGGCGGAGTCAAAAATACCAGCAAAGAATGTCTCCCTTTAACCTAAAATGGACGGGTGTGAGCGTTTTTCTACAATCTTGACGCAGTTCCTGAAAATGGCTCTGTATCGTTTTCATTTTGCCACCCTGTATATATTTAATTTTATCAGAACAGATGTACCAACGGAAACTTAAAGAACCTGACCTAACCTAGATTAATTGAACCTAAACTAATATGACCTTACCTTCTTAATAATTTCAGAGTTTTTCAGAAAATCAAATATAAATAGGAACTATCCAGTGCTGAAAATGTTACTTACATATATTTGTAAATAATGTGTCTTAAAACAATATCTTGCAAAATTTATCATCATACATTGGTTTTCGTAACTACATAGCATTCTTATTTTAATAACACAAATATATAAAATTATTCACTCAAAATTAAATTTTAAATTTGAAAAAATGTATATTGGGATATAAAATAAATGTAAGCGTTTTCGACTAATTTGCATCCTTCAATTCAATAATGAGGTCGAAAATTTACACAATACCTACAAAAGAAGTAAATAAGTCAAAAAAGCTGAAAAGATCATTATGTTTCATACTTAATTGGAGAATTAATACTACTCAATAAGACCGCGTCATTTTAGAAAAAATATCCCGCTCTTTTATTGCTGGTTTTGGCCAGATAAGTTATCTGAACGTTTGTCGTAACGTCGCTGTTATATTCTGTATAATGACTTTAATTTACTATTGCAATCCATTTCAGAAATGCTTAGATAAAGATCCTTCAAAAAGGTGGACATGCAAAGATCTACTAACTCACAAGTATTTCGAAAATTTCAATTTTAAAGTAGACGAAAATGAGGTGCAAAACAATGACAGATCTTCTAGAGATAAGTCTCGGGTGAGTACGGCATAAAATATGTTTATTTTAATTCTAAAAAATACATTAATATGTTTTAGAATTCAAGCAATGGAATGTCCTTACCACAACTAACAGGTTCGAAACCTATAAGTCCATTCAAACCATCCAATAATAGTCAGCAAAAATCTAAAGTTGATCACTTGCCAACCATTTGACAAAGATTTTCTTTCTTCAAATGATTTTTGTAGATTAAAAATTCATTTGTTGAAATCAGTTTGTTTGGCCGCACAAGATCTTCATACAAAACAGTCAGTTTTTACAGTATATAACACATCAACTCTTTAAATAAATGAGGTATGTAGAACCTTCAATATAAAATTTTTACTTGTTTAGAGCTAGAACAGGAAATATTGTATAAATTGACTGACATGTATATCTGTTTATAAGCAGCAGAGTTTGATGTTTTTCACTAAACCTGTGGTGTATTAAAAATTGCTGTACCTAATACTAATATTTCAATATCTCCATGTATATAGAATCAAATAAAAAGTAAAGTATTTTAGTTAATTACGAGTACTTATTTGTAATGTAATAAATTTTACGTTGTACAGAAGTTTTATTTCATATTGTATTCTAAAAAAAAAAAATAGTGTTGTGACTGGATACATATTTATTTTTTGCATTTAATATGATATAATTATTATTATTACTTTGCATGTACCGGTAGATACTACAATTTAACACAGAGAGAGAAATTATTTCTTTTTTGGTATTTATTTTCTCAATGAAAAATATTTTTAGTGTACATTAGCAAACACAATTTCTTACATTATTTCTTTTACTATTTGAAATATGAAATTTGTATTTACAGGTTTTAAATATTTTTAACTACTTATCTAGGTACCGTATTTCCTTGTCTCCATGTATAACAAATACTTTTGACCTAATCGGGGATTTCATCAAAAACAACATGTTATGAATTATCCATTGTCTTTTGTTTTTGAGATATGGGGTGTCAAACACGGCATTAAACAATTTTTTGTTATAGTTACATAATTTATCTATTTAGATCAAGATTAATTATTTTTTTAAACAGTTTCTTCAACTTTTATTATTTTTATTAAACAAGAGTTACAGCTCGACATTAAATTAGACACGAATGTTGAGAAATCTAGCATGAACTCGTCTTGGTATAGGTATGTGGCGTGTCTCCTATTAACTTAATTTTTTTGTCCTTACTTTAACTTTACAGGCAAAAGGTCGCTAAGAATAACGTTTTTGTTAAGATTTTTGGGGTTCTAGATTATTTAATAAAAAAGGCAATATCTATTTCTTAGTTTTAATTGAAAATATAAACTTTTATTTATTCCTCACAAGTGTCTACCAAACAATGAGTCTCGGTAACCTTCTTGTAGTAAGCCGCAGAAGTTTTAGGTGTTCTCGTCCTGTTAATGCTATCGAAGTCTACATGGTAGAGCCCGTATTTTTGTCTGAAAAGAAAAAAACAATTAAAACAATATAAATCATTGAATTAATTTTCATATTTTTTTAGCATGAAACCAGTTTACTTTATCAATTGCCTTGATACGTTAGACCTCTTTTATGCACGCGTTTTTCTCCTCTCAACGCGAAATTGAGAAAAACGCGGTATATTTCTGCTCCATTTTATGCACGCGTATTCTATCAGTTGTCGCCAGTTTCATGCCACACAGTAATCAGTGAAGTACATGAAAATGGATCCGTGTATATTGTATTTGTGCTATAAAAAATATGTAATAGAAAACGTAAGAGGCGATGGGTAGTACATCCAATTAATAGAAATAGAATTCAATTGCGTCCATTGCATCCATGTCCCGCTTGATCAATAGCTAAACTAAAACTAAAACAAACTGTGCTGAAACTATTCTTGACAGACAGAGCCACTGGAATTGCGACAAAGAGCGCTTTGCATAAAAACGCCGATATACTTTCGTGCTTTTTCGGAACGCGTGTCGCCAAGCGTTCTGTAAAGCCATCGCGACAGAATTGAAAACGCGAGAGCAAATAAACGAGCGTAAAATGCATAAACGTAGTAACTCTATTCAGGGTATCTTGAAACGCGGCGTTTTTGTCAACTCCGCGTTGAGAGGAGAAAAACGCGTGCATAAAAGAGGTCTTAAAGAAATACCCAAAAGCAGGTAACTTAGATTACCCAAGGCTCGCATGTGTTTCAGATATTATGTTTTTTACTTGTTATTATTCGAGGAATTTACGTATATTTATGAAAAAATTGCTTCGATACACTTAAGAAGTATCTAAAAGCATGTAAATATCCGATTTACCCACTTTTGAACACTAAGGCATGCATGTATAGCAGATATCATATGTATTCCAAAAACATTGCCCACTACTTTTAGATGAACTTACGTGTAACCCAGTCCCCATTCGAAGTTATCCATAATACTCCATGCAGTGTAGCCAATTACATTCACTCCATCTTCCATAGCACTTCTTACATTGCTGAGATAATCCTACAATTGATCAGTGTCGATAAAAAACTCTTAATCAAAAACGATTATTTGAAATTCCCCGACATTTCCAAAAACATTTTTAATTGTTTGTGATTGTTAGATTTTAGTGCTTTTTTTCATCATTCTGTACGAACACTTAGAATAATAAAATAAGCACATCGTTTTAAATACATTAGACCTGACACTAATCTTTGTTTTTTATTTTTTTTAGTAAACCAAGTTTAGTGGCATAGGCAACATTACATTTTATATTTTATGCAACTATATTGAGTGCATGCGCCAATATATGAGAATAGACAGTTTTAGTATTACCAACTAGTTATATAACATAAATATATTACCCTGAAAAAACGAACTCTTGTAACATCATCTATGACGGAACTATTATCAGGCATACCATTTTCTGTAATTATAATTGTTGGATTGTTGTAGGTTTCCTTCAACCAATTTAAAAGTTTTCTTATACCCCATGGAGTTATCTAAATGACAAAGGAAAATATTTCATTTTATAATAATAAAAAATAATATTAACAATATATAGAACGATGGCCATATGTATGAATTATATTACTACAGAAACTATACTAGCCCTGACATTTTTTTGTATGTACAAACTTTTTAAAGTTGTCATTATAAACGGATATTTAATTTTCTTTTAGAGCATTTATAGTAACAAAGTTAATTGGTTGAATAAATCTTGACCCCTATGTCACGTACAAAATATACTTAACTGTTAATTATTTTATTTTTGTGGTTCATTATTAAAGCAAAAAAAAATACCTTGAACCAAGGCGCGGATGCTGACTCCCAGTCATCGGGCTGGTAGCCATCAATTCCCATGTCGTAGTTGTAACTTGGTTCTGCAATTGGAGCTTCGTCCGTGGCTACTGCTAGAATCGAAGAATACATATTGACAGCCATGTAATCGAAAGTGCCGCTGATGTATGCAATTTCTTCGTCAGTGAATGCTGGAAGACGGGAGTGGTTGAAGCCTTCAGCTAAACTACGTTCTGCAATGCGAGTCTTCATTATTTCTGGGTAGTCGCTGTTATAGACAGGATTTGCATACCATCCATACTAAAAAAAATTTTCGGTAAATACTTTTGAATTTCCTCTTATCCTTAAATATATATAGTTATGTATATTGCGATCTCGCAGTGGTTTAAAATATACAAACATACGAACCAAGATTCGTTTAAACATACAAAATGTGTAACCATCTAATTGTACTTACGTTGAATTGTAGTGCTGTCTCAGCAGCAACTGCATCTTCTTCGCTGTCGGAAGCAGGTTCGAACCATCTAGTATCAATAGTGATTGATACTTGTCCTAAAAACAATGATTATTGTTTTGTAATGATAGCATATCTTGACATTACATTGAATGTATCCTCAAATTCGATTGAGTTTATTATCTCCATCTCAAGAAATGTTTCAGTCACAAAATGTTGAAAGATTTCTGTATTTTAAATCTTCCTAATATCATCTAATCTCTCTAATACAGTACCTTGTTGTGTAGCCCGAAATTCTTGGTCATAGATATGCCAAGCCTTAGCGTGTGCCTGGAGTACGTGGTGGGCACACACATAGTCTGCTAATCCCGTCAAACTGATTCCTGGTGCATTATATCCCTGGCCATACCCTCCTAAGCAAATTTGCTTGGGTTCGTTAAACGTCACCCAGTATTTCACGTCATCTCCAAAGAGTTCGAAGCAAAGCCTCGCGTATTCCGCGAAGGTTTCTACTATGAAATCGCTTGGCCAACCCCCCATGTCCTGCAAGGGTTGTGGCAAGTCCCAGTGGAATATGGTGATCAGGGGTTCGATGCCGTTATTTTTTAGTTCTTTGATTAGGTTCTTGTAGTATGTCACGCCGGGAAGGTTAACTTTGTTTACGTATCCTAGAAATCACAAAACAGATTTTTAGTTATTTTATGTAATACGAACAGTCATTAATGGAATAACATTTAATGTATGAATGCTAATATGATGCTATTAATCACTTCAATTCTTATAAATAATATCATGATATAAAATACTAATGAATACTAAAGCGGATATAACCAGGAAATTAAAAGAATGTGCTATTAGAAAAAAGCGAATTTAGATGATAACTTTTTGTACAGTATTACCTCCATAGCATACTTTTGCAACCATATCTCCTTGACTATTAGAGATAGATTCGTCAGTTTCTAAATCGTTGCAAATAATGGATGTTTTTAGTTTTTTTTATAGATTTAAGATAATGAATTGAAAGGAATGTAATTACTAAAGTATAAAAATACCTGTAGGAAGTATTCTTGACCAGGATAGTGAGAATCGATAAAAATCAACCCCTACTTCTTTCAATATAGCCACGTCTTCTTTGTACTTATGATAAGAATCACAAGCTACATCACCAGAGTCGTTATTAGCAATTAATTCGGGATTAGAGTGAATATAACGGTCCCAAATATTTTCACCTTTACCATCTTCATCCCATGCACCTAAAATAACGAATTTATTTTTGTAACTAGGGAAAAATGTGCAAACATTGATGAAATAGATAACCACATTATTTTAAGACTTTAGTCCACTTTCTCTTTAGAAAGTCGTATAAAAATTGTAAAACGAAATAAGTAAACTTGGAAAAACAGTTCGTTTTTGAAAAAAATATTTAATTCTCATGGTTTCCTTAAGGTTTTGAAACCAAAAAGTTTAGCAGTTAAATAAAAATTATTTCAAATTACAAAATACAGGCTGTTCTGAAAAACACTGACATAAATTCAGGGCCCTATAGAATCTCAAAAAATATTACAATTTGTTCCTATGAACCACGGGCGCATCTTTTTCCAT